CATCATCTCCATTGGGGTCCTGGCCAACACCCTATAATCGAACAGGTTGATATTTCTCCAACAAAAAGCTTGGATAGGCACTTCAAGAGAAATACATTAAGACTGTATATGTGGACTTAGTTCAAGTCACATTTTGCCACCAAGTGATGATTGGTTAGGTGAGATTAGGTTTTGCATCCAAACAAGATCCAAAAAAGATTCCTTTTCCACGTTTGAAGATTTCAGATTAGGGACCAGTGTATTCATTTTAAAGTCTTTGTCAGACTCTCTGATAAAATTCATCTTATCTGAAGTAAATTCATCTTCTGATTGATGATATTGTTGCATGTTTCTAACATTAGATTTCTTTATGTGTTTTGGAGACTTATTTTGTTTGCAGGCTTATTGGCTTATTTTGAATGGAAGCTTTTTATCATCTCCCTTTTTCTCGCTAGCCATCTCAGCCTAGTAGTTTTGCAATGTCTCACCAGTCCTCTGGACCCTTAGCTCAGAGGCAAGCATTAAATATGCCACTTCTATCGCTGTGATACTGGGGATGGCACAGATTCAGACACTGAGTACGTAGGTGGCTTAAATCGGTTCTTGGTTATGAGGCTGTATCTTTGATATTTGATTCCCAAATTCTATAGCTTCTTGTAAAGCTGAAACCCAACTGGCAGATTGTCAGCAACTTTTTCAGCTTTTCATGATTTGAGGGAACATTCCTCTTTGTCTTAAAAAAAAATGAGCCTGGATCTGACCACTGTCTCATTGAGGCGTCTTTAGTTTTCTTTACTCCGCAAGAGCTGAACTGCTGACCAAGACAGGCTGCTTCCAGACCTTGACAACAGCAGGCCCCTGACTTCAGCCCCAGTGCATTTCGAGTTTTTCTTTTACTTATGGTCCATCAGTTTTTAAATCTAAAACACGTCTTTTTGTTTTCCTTTTAAAACATTTTATCTATAGTTGCTATCTCTTGGAGTGGAAGGGGTGCAGAAAATGTCAATTCACTGTGCCGTCTGAACTGGGAGTCACCCTCATATTTTAAAAATGCTAAGTTCTATCCCCTTTTTATTAATACCCTCCTTTCCCTTCCCACAGTCCCTCAGCTATACCTCTTGCCTCCTTCACAACCAAACTTCTCCAAAGAATTCGACAATTCTACACTGTTCCCGATTCTTTCACTTCCATTCACATCTCTACCCACAGCAGTCTGGCTTTCCTCTCTCCTACTCCATTACCTTTTTCCTTCCTTCCTTCCTTCCTTCCTTCCTTCCTTCCTTCCTTCCTTCCTTCCTTCCTTCTTCTTCTCCCTCTCTCTCCCTCTCTCTCTCTCTCTCAGTTTCCAATCATCTTGTCAGTAAATCCAGTGATGATTTTCATTCCTCATGTGTTCATCTGTTTAACTTCTCAGCAGCTTTCAATACTTGTTGAATATCCCTTCCAAGTTAAAACACTCTCTTACCTTGTTTTTCATAATTTAAGAGTGGTCTGGATCTCTTCCTACCTCTCCGGCTGCTTCCTTAGAATATCATTTACAGGTTCAACCTCTATCTAGCCATTAAGTGTTAGAATTTGTTGAGGTTCAGTTTTAGCCTTTGTCTTTTTACTTTATATTCTCTCCCTAAGCAGCCTCCTCCAAGCCTATTGTGTTAGATGCCAACTCGACACAGATAACTCCCAAAGTGGTATGTTCAGTCATACCTGTCCTTTTATGTGCAGAACAGCATTGCCAACTTCCTTCCTGACGTTACCTCTTAGGTGTCTCGAAGGGATCTCAAATTACATTTTACTACCTAAGTAAATGGTACCACCGTCCATCTAATTTTATAAATCAGAATTCTTAGGGTCATCCATGATTTCTTCCGTTCCCTCCCTTACCAAAGACAACCCATCCCTGAATCTTAATGTCTTTTCTTAAATGTCTCTACTTCTCTTCGTGTATCTTTCTTGCCCAATATTTGATCATCATCTTTCATGAGGATCTCTGCAGTAACCTCCTGATTAGCTCACTCACACCAGCTCTTGCCCATTGCATCTCCCAGTCCAGACTCCATATGATAGTCAGCATACTCATGTTGATAGAAATACAATATCTGATCATCACAGGCACTCTTGCCCCATCCTCACCCATACACAATTGGAACATTATGATAACAGCTTACTGCTTTAGGATAGAGACAAAAGATTTTAATGGCCTCTAAGGCTACCCCTCCTTCCTCCCAGTGCCTCGTCTTGCTCTCTGTTCCTTGTCACTGTGGCCTGCCTTCAGTCTCTTGGACTTAACATTATTTGTTACCCTACAGCCTGTGTGTCATAGGGTAGCCTCCTACTGCAGGATGTTCCCTGTGCCTGAATGCTCCTCCCTCCCCCTGGGTCCTGGCTGTCTGTTCCTTGTCCTCTAGCACTCAGCCAAGTTATTGCTTCTTCAGGAAGTCTTCCCCTTCCCTAGTCTCCCTGACTGGCTCAGGCTGTCCTCTAAGAACCTATGCAGAATATTTGTCATATGTGTAATTTCACACTGTGTTTGTCTAATTGTCTAATTATTTGATTAAAGTCTGTCTGAGGGCAGAGACCAGATATGTCTTGTTTCCCATTGTATGCCCATCAGGTGAGCTGGCATAGAGGAGGTGTTTAGTAAGTATAGATTGACCAAGTCATTTTGAATCCTCATTTTGACACCAGACATGTTAATCACCCCTCTTAGCTTTGTGTAAGTACCAGATTTGACATGCCTGCCTTTTATGTCTTTATCTTGAAACACTCATAACCAGGTGAGGGCAGTTCTATGCCATAAAACCAGAAAGCTCCTTCCAGTTTGACACTGGTTCTATTTAAGTTCCCTTTTACTAAGATAAATAACTGATAACAAATAGCAAATAGTAAAGTTTCTATTTGCCATCATTTATCGTTTATCCGAGTTTCTCAAAACCTACTTTTACCCTTAGATGAATTCAGAAGCCTTCCCACACATCTTCCAAAAAATCAATGACTAGGACTCAGAGTGGAAAGAACAATAGAAACTTATAATACAGTGCTGTGATAGAACTGGCAGCCAGTAATAACTTCTGGGAGAAAAGTGAATATACATTATTGGCTTGTGTGTGTTTTATGGTGGCGTGAAGACAGACAGACCCTTGTTTGGAGATGCCCCAGGGAGAAATGCTGCTAATAACCTCCCCACACAGACCCATATTTCACTCCAGAACAGAGTGGAAAAGTGGTGTGGATATTCCACTTTTTTTTCCCCTGAAGTAAGTCTTTCTATTATATAAGTGATAGAAAAATCACCGGGGAAAGTATTAGTTGTGTGGTTCAGGGCTGTGCAGAGAGAACAGTAAATGTGAATATCCTGAAGACGGGGAGGAGGGAGGATTTTAATTAAGTATGGTAAAGGTTGGCTGGGCCTGAGATTACAGACTCAAGTGGGTTAAACTGCTGTGGAATGTAGTTCCAATATTGGCTCAGACATTCAATATGCACGTATACTTTGACCCAGCAATTCTACTTCTAGGAATCTTACAGAAATACCAGCATAAGGATATTTACCTATCTACACACACACACACACACACACACACACACACACACACATACATACACGTGATCATGTAACATTCTATGCTAATAGGGATAATTAGAGACAATGTAAGTGTTGCCATCAATAGGGGATTAGCTAAATAAATTAATTTACACTCACACTGTGGAAAGGTGGGAGGCTATTAGGAAAATGAAGTTTATCTGTATGTAGCTACAGACAGAGAAAATCTTGTTGAGTAAAAAAAGCAAGATGTGGCAAAAGGCAATAATCACAGTTATGATCATCAATATTTACAGAGTGCTTATGACATGCCAAATACCCTTCTAAGAGTCCTTCATATATTCATTCATTTAATCCTCATGATAATTTTAAGAGGTGGGTACTCTTGCTATCCTCATTTGTACACAGGAGGATACCAAAGCATACAGACATTAAGTAACTTGCTCAAAGTCACACAGCTGGAGGCAGTATGGTTCCATACTCCAAGCTCCTAACCCATAGGGGATGGTGGGGGCGGGTTGTTTTTTGGTTTGGTTTTGGTTTGGTTTTTTGTTTGCTTGTTTTTGGTACAAGGCCAGATAGTAAATATTTTCAGCTTTGTGAGCCATATGGACTCTGTTGGAGCTACTCAGCTCTGCTGTCATGGTATAAAAACATCCATGATTCCTACTATGAGCACAGTTTTTCTTTAAAAAAAAAAAAAGGTACATATGTGTGCATTTTCAGATGTGGAAAATGGTTTGGAAGCATGAAAACCAAACTATTACTAGTTATTATCCCAGAAGTGGGCTGCATATATCACGTCACGTTATCTGCATCCATATAATCGAAAGTTCACTCTTTAAATTGAAAAACAGCAAAAGAGCCTCAAGGCATACCTCTATCCTCTTCTCACCCAGTGGAGATTGCTTTTTACCTCAAGTTTTAGAGTGTCTTTTGCCTTGAGAAACAAGGCAAATATATGGGTAATAGGAGTAGAAACCCCTATAAGTAAGGTTGCCAGATTTAGAAAAAAATACCAATGCACCATTAAGTTTGAATCACAGATAAACCACAGTTATGTGTTGTTTATCTGAATTTCATACTTAATGGTTCATCCTGCATTTTTTAAAGTTTATTTATTTATTTTTGAGAGAGAGAGAGAGAGGGAGTGTGAGCAGGGGAGGGGCAGAGAGAGGTTGGGGGTGGGGGTGGGGAAGAGGATCCGAAGTGGGCTCTGTGCTGACAGCAGACAGTCTGATGCAGGGCTCGAACTCACCAACCACGAGATCATGACCTGAGCCCAAGTTGGAAGCTTAACCGAGTGAGCCATCCTGGCGCCCCCATCCTGTATTTTATCTGGCATTCCTACCCATAGGACCGCGTTTCTTACTGTGATGACGTACACTGTTCCCAGATGTCTGCTCAGCCTTGCCTTCGCTATTGCCCATGTAAACTCATCCGGTACATTTCACATCCACCTGCTCGGGCTCTCTGACAGGTGGAGATACAGCTGCGGCTGCGAGTTCCCCAGGTCGGCCACTACGTGGTGGTGGTGGAGTATTCCACGGGAGCAGACCAGCTGTCTGTGGTTGCTGTGCACATGCAGAGCCCTGGGTCAGTCCTGAGAGGCCAGGTGAACATCTACAGCTGCATGTACAGGTAATCAGTCCTGCCCTGGGGGATCCCTTTGTTCCTGAACGATCAGGAGGTCAGCTTTGGGAACTTTGGTTTTTATCTGGATTGGGATGTTGTTTCCTTTTTGAGGCTGATCTTGAAAACAAGCAGGTGACCGTGCTGTCTGGTGTCACCCCCAGTGTGAGTACTGGGAGACTTCTCTGTGGGCATCCTCTTGAAAATGTTGCATTTTCTTGAAAAACTGTGTATTCTACTCACTCCTTTTGCTCAGAGTCCCAGGAAGCAGCACGACCTTTTTATTTTATTCTCCGTCACCCCTGTGTGGTGCAGTGAAGTCAGTGTTCTCACTTCACATGCTGTGTAGAGCACCTGGGTGCGTGGAATAGGAGAAAAGACTCTGTCTCTGTCACAACCGCCTTCCCAACATGCCCTTCAGAAACTGGGAATAATTGATGTTTGAGGATCATCAGGTGAAAAATAATTAACCAAAGATTTTATTTTTTTTAATGCTTATTCATTTTTGAGAGAGAGTTTGCAGCTGGGGAGGGGCAGAGAGAGAGGGGGACAGAGGGTCCAAAGTGGGCTCCCCACTGCCAGCACAGAGCCAGATGCGGGGCTCAAACTCACAAACTGTGAGATTGTGACCTGAGCCAAAGTCCGATGCTTAACTGACTAAGCCACCCAAGTGCCCCTAGCCAAAGATTTTAAAATTCACCCTGTTTAAGTTACTGTCTTCCAAGAACCTTGGCAAAGATTTATTAAGAGTTGTTTTTTTGTATAATATTTCAAGATATATGCAAATGTTCAGAATATGCTTTAATTAAAGAATCAGCTCAAGGGGTGTTTCCAACATGAAATTAATTGTATAATAAATGGCACGGAAGTCAGTCTCTTCAGACAGCAGGTGGCAAACTGCAATGAACCCACCCAGTTCTTGGCCAAGGCCTTGGACATTTTATTACCACTACTTGCCTATGGCTTTTTGTCAAACTTCAAATGACCTGAAGTAGTTGGACATTTTCCCTGTTTTGCAAATAAAAGAACGTATGAAAAGAGTTACTTTTAGGAACTTAGAATGGAAACTTTTATGAGACTTGATGAAATGGTTATTGAATTAACATCATGCTCTCAGCAACCCTAAAAAAGCAGCTGTGAGGGCTTCTTTGAAAAATCATTTAAAAAATCTCATCAGCCCTTTTCTCTGGGGTGATGATAAAACAAAAACAAAAAAACAAAACAAAAAACAAAAAACAAAAAAAAAACCCACAAAAAAACAAAGGACATAATTGCATTTGGATTTTTAGTAGGAGTACCAGATGGGCCAAAAAAGTTCTCCAGAATGTTCTATCATTATCTGAAAACGTTAGTTTGATCTGTGGATGACATCAGCAACCATTGGAATGTACACTCCTAGGTGGGTGGGTCACCTCACCACCTGAGTCCTGGAGACTGTTGGCCACAGGGCTGGGACAGGGCTCCTCTGTACCCTGTTCCTCCAAGTCCACCCTCTGGTTCAGCTCTCTGACTCAGCTTTCCAGATCATATTGCTTGATCCCTGCTCCACAGGATACAAGGTGGTGATGGCTGAGAGCCCAGTAGGAAACACTGCTGATGTCCCTGGTGGCTCTCTGAACCATCTCAGAAGAGGCTGAGAACATCTGTGCCAAGCAGAGAAGTGTTTTCAAAGCTCAGGAAAGAATGGTCACCCTTCCAGGGTTCCATAAGCCACGAGCTTGGTTTCATGACCTCTGTCTGGATGGCATTTGGGGAGAAGAACTGTGCGGTATTCCGCAGATCGTTTTGGCTCTGGACATGACAGCCCCAGGTTCTTCACCAGGGACATTAGAATCCCAAGACAGTATTGTATTAGACTAGGACTTCCTTCTAATGTATTTGACCATTTCCAGGAAAGTCTTGTGGTATTATTTCAACTCCTCTAAAATATTTCCTTCTTCTCTACTTTGGCTGTCATGTGACTAAGTGAAAATGAACAGGCTATTAGTACTGGAGTCCAAAAATATGGTGCAATTGGAAAATATTTGACCCATAAAAGCCTATTTCACATGACAGGCCCTTTCGACACTGCAGCTTTTCCTGCTGAGGGTTGAACCTTTCCCAACATTCTTGAGTGAGTTCTAATGGTGTTATTTTAAAAAATATCCCAACAGAAAAGTCGCGGTGCTAATTAAAATACCACTTTTCAGAACAGTGTTGTGATAAATATGATCTGCCTTCTGTAGGAGAGGTGATCACTCATGATGAAATCAATCCCGTTATTACCGTTTGTCTATTCTTAGTAAGAATTTTAAAAGGATATGGATAAAACTAAGTCTAAATGAATCACTTAATATATTTAACTCCCAGGATTATGATTGAATCCAAAAGGAATGCACTTTAATTTCATACATGTACACATGCACAAAAGAGAAAACAACACAACTATTCATTGAGTTTCTAACCATGGCTCTGTATATACTATCTCATTTTAATCTTTACCAGAAAGTCATTGCATCAATCTTTTCAAACATCTCTCACTCATTTCTTCTCAGAGATAGATATAGTTTGTCTCTAGTTTCCAAATTGTATTTACAGACAGAAAAGTCGCTACAGAATATGAAGTCAGAAACAGTTCTCCGAAAATACTTCCTTTAGGGGTTGTGCTCTTAGAGTGTGTTCTTTGGTTCCAAACCATGACCTTTGAAATGTTCCTGAACTCCGTATTTCAGCTGATGGGGTGGAGGTAAGGAGCGTAGCTGGTGCAATGAGGAAGGAAGGATGCGGAGGGCAGACTGAGCTTGCAAAGGCAAGCTCTGGTTTCTCATGGCTGGAGAAAGGCCAGCCCTAGAGCTGACATGGTGTGGAATCATCGCTGGGAGGCCAGTAGGCATCTTCAGTCACCAATGGTACCAACAATACTGATAAATTTCTCATAGGTTGTGTCTAGGAGATCAGACGTTATTGACCCTGGGACTTTTTCTCCCGATGACTAGACCGAGTATTACATAAAGCTGGTTTGGAAAAGCTGCCCTGAGACGTGCAGCTCAGACCACAGCCGGAAGGTTCTTTCTCTTATATTGCTGGTGGACTGCATACATCCCTCTTAAACTCGTTGTGTAGGAAAATTTGCCGTCAGCAACCTGGTTATAAACAGGAGAAGCTGAAGAGCAGTCAGCTATCCCACGGGGAGGCACAAAGTCAGGGAGACCAGAGAAGTCAGGCTAAGAAAACTTTTTCCTCTTGCAGCATCCTCTGCCGGAGTGTTGTGACTGATGGCAGGAGTCGCATCGCTGTCTATGAACTGTTAGCAGATACAGACATTCAGCTCAAAGTGCGTGGGGCCCGATTCCTTCTGGTATGCTTCTGTTTTGCCCTTTGAGTTTTAGAAGCATTTTGTTGTTATATCTATATTTTAAAACTTATTAAAAATGTTGGCAGTCTTTGTATTACATCTCTAAAATGAACCTGTGAAGAATCGCCAACTTGATGTTTTTCCTTCCCATCTAGAACTCTGTCTTGCCTCTTCCTTTATTTGAGCCTTTTTATAGCACTCAGTAAAGTTTGGTCATCACATTTGAACATATCTCACAAAACTCTATTTTATTAATGTTTATCCATTGTTACTATTATGAACGAAGTATCTTTTGTTCTTAATAGGTCCCAGTTTATTATCACTCTGGTATATAGAAATGCACTAGTTACTGCTTATTTTCTTTCCCATTTTTCCATTTTATTATGTCTATTAGCTTCTTGGCAAATTCCTTAAGAATTTTCAAGATTGCAATCACCTGGTATTTCTTTTCCAGACTATTGTTACTCTATCTTAAAAAGTGTAGTATTCAGTTAGTTAGATATATATCGTTAAGAGTTAAAATTCCAAGTTTGGCAGATTAAATACCCTTCATGCCTTCCTTTTAATAGCATGACTTAAATATTGAGAATTATTATAAACACAGGCAGTGGGATCTGGGCTAGGGAGGGGTGGCTAGATTTATAATAAATGTCTCAGGGAACAGAAGAGTAACTAAGTATGAAGCAACTTCCTGTCATTGCTAATATTCAGCATGTATCACATTCTGGGAAATGCCAGGCCAGCTTGTTCTGATATGTTTTAAATATTTGTGCTTGACAGTATTAAAAACTTTGAGCCTTCTCTGAAAAATTATCTTGCATTGAGTTGTTAAAAGTTATTACATGAATTACGTAATGACTTAAGACTTTCTTTTTAAAATTGTGACTCTTTTTATAAACATAGCAATCCAAGCTAATCTTAACCTCCTCATCTTTGGAAATTATAACGGGACTGAATCTTTATCTAGTAAGCATAAGTCTGTCCTTTTTGACATAGTCAAATGTCATTCAGAGTCAAATATCATTCAGATGTCTAACTACAATTTAAGCTATGTGAGGGCAGAGGTATTATCCATGTTGGTCTTTTAGGATCCCCTAGTCTCAGTGCCTGGCATGTACTAGGTGTTCAATAAAAACTTTTATTGAATAGGTTTGTGATCAAGCCGGTAATACAGTTTTGATTAAAATAAAATGTATTGATAAGTAAAAAACTAGCTCTGGAGACAGTTCCTTCAGTGAAGCCCAAATGTGCCTGAGATTTGAGTCCTCCTCTATTAAGAAAGATTATTCGTGGGGTTTTCTTGTTTTTGTTTTTTATTTTTCATTTTTTTTTTAAACATCAAGTTTGTTTTTAAATTTTTATTTATTTTTGAGACAGAGAGAGAGACAGAGTGCAAGCAGGGGAGGAGCAGAGAGAGAGGGAGGGAGATAAAGATCCTGAAGCAGGATCTAGGCTCTGAGCTGTCGGCACAGAGCCCGACATGGGACTCGAACTCATGAACCGTGAGATCATGTCCTGAGCCAAAGTCGGACGTTTAACTGACTGAGACACCCAGGCGCCCTTGTTTTTTGTTTTTTTTTTAATGTTTATTTATTTATTTTTGACAGCACAAGAGGGGAGGAGCAGAGTGAGAGGAAGAGAGAGAGAGGACTCAAGCGGACTCCGTGCTGTCAGCACAGAGTCTGATGCACAGCTCGAACTCACAAACTGTGAGATCATGACCTGAGCTGAAATCAAGGGTTGGATGCTTAACCAACTGAACCACCCAGGCACCCCAAGAAAGATTATTTGTAGCAGGAGCTGGAGACAACAGGCTTGAATGGCAGCCTCCCTTGTTGCCTCCCACATTCCCCCTCTCCCTGCCAAGGCATCTGAAGAGCCAGCATCAACCCAGGGCAGGAGAGAGAAACAGGCACCAAAAGTCACTGACAAAGAGTTGTTTTTGAACTTTCATGATTTCATTTATTCATGTGACTATTCCAAGAGCATTTAGGCAGTGATCCTGTATACTAGGAAAGAGGGTTTGTTGTACATAACGATGTCATAGGGAGTGCCTTTCTGCAATGTTTATTACTTTAAAATAACAATGATGATTTCTGTACTTAACAGCTTTTTTAAGAGTATGTTTGACCATACCATTGGCTTTGCTAATAACCATGACGTACCTTTTTGCATTGTATTTGCTCAACAGCATCAAATTTGTATCATACCCATTGAAGAATTCTCAGTTGAATATTTGAGACCTCAAGTCAAGTGCATTGCCAGTTACGGGCAATATGTTAATCAAAGGTAATGAGTTTCCTTCCTTTCTCCCTTGTTGGTGCTCTGAGTGATACTGTAGGACTTGCAAAGCTGTGACTTTATGCTTCCCTTCAGAAGTGATCACAGGCCAAGGTGCTAAAGGCTGGTGATCGCTTAAAAGAAAAAATCAGCTAACTCATTTCCCCTGGCAGTCTTTCCAGAATTTCATAGTCTTAGGAAGCTGACAGAGTAGCAACTGAGGGAAATGGTTAAGCTTTTCCCTCAACGGTACTTACCGACTTGTGTTCTGAGCCCTCCCAAAGGCTCACTTTGTTCTCACCCTTTAATGTTTGTGTCTGAAGCTCTTCATTAAAAAAAAAAAAAAAAAATCATGGGGGCACCGGGTGGCTCAGTCAGTCGGGCATCTGACTCTTGGTTTCGGCTCAGATCACGATCTTTCGATTTCATGAGTTTGAGCCCCGCATCGGGCTCTATGCTGATGATGCAGAGCCTACTTGGGATTCTCTCTCTCCCTCTCTCCCTCTGACTCTCCCTCACTCACACTGTCTCTGTCTCTCTCAAAAATAAATGAATAAATTAAAAAAAATTTTTAAATCATGAAAATAATGACCCACCTCACTATGTTATGAGAATTAGCTAACCAGTGATTATCGGGGTTTGGGGAGGGTTGTTTTGTTGTAGATTCAGAAATAACTTACAGACACAGTCATGAAATCTTAGCATATGGTTAGGGCTACAGCAACCACCAAGACAGGGAAATCTAGCTGTGCCTGAAAGAAATGATGTGCATTTGTCCTGTTTGTTTTTGTATAATTTTATGTCAACATGTTTGTTTAGAGGTGAATAATAATGTTTCATTGCATCACTCCATTTAACATGAATTTTAGTTCTAGAAAGGAAAGTTTTGTTAAGTTTCTTTCTCTCTGGTTACTGTTTTTCAAAATTAAGATTTTATTTCTGTTTTAGCTTACTGTATCAAGCAGGCCTCTGGAATACACTTGGCTAACTGACTACACTGAGTGTCTCTGTCCAAAGATATCCACAGTCCTGTGGTTCTTCCAAGACTGGATCCTTTTGATGTCACACAGTCTTATGCTCACAGTCTACCTCCTCACCAATGAACAGTTCCATTTTTGGTTGTTTTTTTAATATTTTTTTTTCAGTGCTTCTTGTGTCTCCCTGGTTCTCAAAACTCCTCCAACAGCATTAATTTTGGATGTCCCAAGTGGTGAGTCTTCCCTTCTCCTGCCCCAAGATCCTTCACCTTCTGCTGATGTTACTGGAGTCACCTTGAAGGCGCCACAGGTGGGACCCCTCTCGAGTGTGTTGTTTCAAAATCATGGTTGTCAAAGTGTGGCCTTTAACAGAAGCATCTGCATCACTTGGGTACTTGGTAGAAATTCAGGTTTTCAAGCCCACCCCAGGACTACTGAATTAGAAACTCTGGAGGTGGGGGCCAGGAGTATGTGTTTTAATAAATTCTCCAAGGAATTTGCATGTCCATAGAGTTTGAGGACCTCTACTCTCAATTTTGGGGAATCCCTCACATGAGACTCTAATCCTGTCTATGACCATCCCATCCTGATGTCCTCTTCCTTTTCTGTATCTCTGTCTACGCAGTCGTATGGCAACTTTTCATGGCCCATTTTGTGACACTTCATATTTTCATGGGCTACTGGCATTTAATATTGTTGAGTTTATCACTTGTCTTCCCAAGTTGGAATGCAAGCACTTTCAAAAGCTACTCTGGCTAACAGATTTTTTTTTAAATAGTTTGCATCCCCAACTATACCAGCAAAATGCCTTTCGGGCAGGAAATTCTCAATCAACATTTATTGATTAATAACCTATAGCATGAAGATGAAATATAGTAAGGGACTATATTTTTTCACTGTAAATTATGAAATTGTAGGACTTACCATTTGTCCTGATATTATATCCTTTTAATCCTAAAGATGGCTCATGTCATTTCACATTGCATCAAGTTAGAAAAATAACAGGATTTGGAGATAAAACTTAATAAGATCCCGTATGGGAAAGGCCACCTAGAATCATAGGGGGAAATGAATTGAAATCATGACAAAGGATTTCTAGGCCTGGCTTTGCTCTTCAATTAGAGTATGACGTTTATCAAATTACCTGCCTTCTTCAAGTCATGATTCTCATCTGAAAGATGAAGATAATCTTTTATTATTGCTGTTTTTCTTGTGTGTGTGTTTTTTGTTTTGGTTTTTGGTTTTTTTTTTTTGAAGGTTTGAAAAGACTCATTACTCACATAGTGAGGTTTTCTGGGGAGAGCAGGGCTCACGCTCAAGCTTGAGCAAAAGTTGAGGCATGACTCTGGTCATGTGGTTGGGCTGGGGTGTTGGGAAGGTGGAAGAATCCAAGGTGAGGGCTCCCTTCCCATGGGCTAGAATTAGTGTGCCTTGAACTTCTTGCCCGTGCCAAGGGATGTGCACCCGGGCTTTCTTATGAGCTTGTGCAGGTGTGGGACAAAATATTAAAAATGAGTGATGGGGCTTGACACCTGTCAGGGATCAGACATCCAAAATGGAGTCTGACTCTTCGTTACAGGGTTATTACAAGTAGTTCTTGAATGCAGGAAACATTTGTGCACAGCCTCTTGGCAAACATTGTGCATTTATGTACCTAAGAGTGAAGTTGTTCAGTGATATGTTTGACTTTGGTAAAAGCTGACAGACAATTTTCAAAAGTCCTTGTACCAAATTACACTCCATCCAGTACCATTTATGGTTGTACCACCACTGGTTTATCCATTCTGAGTTGTGGGTCATTTGGTTTATTTCCAGTCTTTCTGATTACAAATAGTGCTGCTGTGAACATTCGAGTGAACGTTTTGTGTGATCCTAGGTTTTCACCTCACTTGGGTAAATACCTAGGTGGTTTTGGTTTTTAACCTCTAAATATTCATAGTTCTGCAACTTGAAGAGTTTTTTTTCTTTGTTTCCACTTAGAACCAAATGACCCTGAGAGGACTTGTACCACACCTGGGCAGATATGTCATTGTCATCCATTTTTATCAGTCAGCGCACCCAACATTTCCCACGCAGGTGTTTGTGGATGGAGGGCGGCAGTGGGCAGGTGAGCTTCAGGGAGCAGGCGCCATGGCTGATTGCCCGGCTCATCCATGCCTTACTGTGACAGGAACTCCTCTCTTGCTCTGCCCCCAGGTGTCTTCCGTGCCTCTTTTTGCCCCCACACACTTGGCTGCAGGGACCAAGTGATTGCTGAAGATCAGGTTGAGTTTGACATCTCAGAGCCAGAGGTAGCTGTGACTGTGGAGGTTCCAGAAGGAAAGTCCTTAGTGTTGGTATGTTCTTCTTGTCCCTCAGTTTGCCTTGGTCAGCCATTCTGTGTGCCTGTTTGGCTCGTGATGACATCTCCACCAGGGAATTGAAGTCATATTTATAGAAAAATGTTTAAATTTTACGGCTACCTTTTACCAAAAAAAAAAAAAAGTGACAATTAATGTCAAAGGAAATTAGAACAATACGTAAGTGAATAGGAAGAGAAAAGTCCCCGCAAGAAACTCTGGTGAACAAGAATCTCACTCTACATCAGCCCCTCCTCACTCCTCACCTGACTGGTCTCTTTCTGAAGCATGTAATACTCCTTTGTTCTTGAAGCTTTCTTTTTTGGGCTGCCATAGCTGTTTCTCTCATTTTGTTCTCAATTGCTCTAGTGTTCCTTCAGTGACTTCTTTTTCCCTTTGTGCCCGTATGGTGGCATTCCCTTGGGTTCGATGCGAAGCCCTCTTGTTCTGTCCTTTCTCTGTGGATACTATCATCTGTACCCATTGATTCCATTCTCTCTTCTGGGGGAATGACACCACATCTCTGAATTTATCTCTGATATTTTCTGAGCTCCAGGCCCAGTTTGGGACCATCTACTGCATATCTGCATAGCCAGAGACCTTAGGAGTCCCTCAGACTTAAGCCTGTTACTTGCACAACCCCAGGTATCCCCTACCCTGTTCCTTACCTTGGTTGATGGGATCATGGTCACTCAATGCCTGTAAAGGCTTCCAGAGAGCCAGGTAACATTGTCCAGGCCCTGCTGTGTGACCCTCTAGTTTCTTCTTCATGCTTCCTTCTCTCTCTGAGGATGCCATCTTCCTAGGGACAGGGACCTGGCTTTATGCATTTTATATCCCCTGTGCCTAGAACACCACCTGGCACATGGTGTTTGGCAAATGCTTATTGATTGACTAACATGAGGGCAGTGAGCTCTCTGTAAGCTGTAAGGTGGTAAATAGTTCACAAAGACATTTGAAATTTCCTATAGCATTTATTACTGGAATAGTCTGATCTGTAGTAAGAGTAAGAGAGCCGAGCAGTACTTTTAAAGCCTAGGGCTGCAGTTATTCATGCTAAAGTGTCTGACATGATGTAAATTTCAGGGCAAGCCACGGTCCGAGTTTCCCCCATTGATCCTGCCATTTTGGTTTGTTCACCTTTAAAAATACAAATTGCAACCTCTGGAGATCCAGAGCCATCCCAGGCATAGATCACATGGGGCCCTGGCAGTCCTAACAGGCTCCTGCTCACCCCTTAGATCTCCTATCCCCACACAGCACTAAGGCTGCCGCTTCTCTGAGCAGGCGCTCTGAGGGACCGGCCCCGGCCCATGCTGTTCCTTACATAGGGACGTGAGTTGAGCCTTTAACACTGGCTTAAAGTAGTTCTTGTGATTCTTTTTTTTCGTAAATCCTGTTTCGGTTGGTCTTGGGCTTAACAGTAAAGAACATGGATCTTAGTGAAGAGAAAATATAATGAATAGCTGTAGGTGTGCCCTGCTGTTGGAAATCCAAAGACACGCTGACAGGTTTCCTTTAGGTCCGTGTTCTGGTGGTGCCTGCGGAGAATTACGACTACCAAATACTTCACAAAAAATCAGTGGACAAATCATTTGAGTTTATCACCAATTGTGGAGCAAACAGTTTTTATATTGAGTAAGTATAACTTTGTGGAGATTCAGAAGGCTCTCCCACATTCCCACTGGGAGCAAGGCCCAGGGTGGGGCTGGCCTTTGGGTCTTCTTCTTCCTGGTGCCCAAGGAGGTGGCAGTGAGTCCTGGGTCTGGGGCGGGAGGTGCTTTTCCTCTGCATACACCATCCCACACCAGACCTTGTCCTGCACATCTGGGCAAGGTTACCGTCCTCAACATCGATCTCTCCAGAGGTTCACCCTCCAAGCTGCGATTCATGGGCTGCTTAGGAGTTTCTTGGCCTCTTTGCTGCTTCCTGTTGTCCAACTCAGATTCCTAAAAGACAACCAGAAGGGGTACTTCCTACTGGGAGAGCACGTCAGCCCGGATTCTCCCTCTCGTTTGCCATCTGATTGAATGAGGAGTGTCACAGAGAGGTTGACTTCCCTGTCCCCTCACCCTGTGTCCCTGAATGCTAAGAGCCTAGGATATTCCCGAGTATCGGTTCCCACTCTTCACTTCTGCAGACACTCCCTGCCCCCTTGGAGGCTTCCTGAGGGACCCAGGAGCTCCAGGTTGCCCTGGTAGGCAAACGTCTCCTGTACAGAAAATATTAAGAGTAAAGGCCCTGAAGTCAAATAGCTATGGGTTTGAATGCCTCCTTGGTCACTCTGTAGCTCTGTGGCCTTGGGCATGTTGCTTAACTTCTAGAAGCCTCAGTTGCCTTATCTATGAAATGAGGCTTAGGCCTAACTTGGGTGGTTGTGAGGTTGAGACGTAGGCAAAACTTCTAACACACAGCATTCAATAAATATAGGTACTTTGCCTTGCCTTCCTCTTCATTGTTATTGTTATTGGTATAGACACATATAGGTATAATTTTTTTGGTAACCACTTTACTGAGATATAATTCACATACCATGGAATCCATCCTGTAGGTGAATTTTCACCCTTTTATTTCAGCTATCAAAAGTTCCCACCAGCCAGTCCTGTGATGTGCTCTGGAGTGGATGGGCACAAGGAAGGGTGGCTGTCACTGGCTGTGAATCCAGGGGTGGGATAGTCTCTCATTTCTTCCCAGACTCCAAAGCCAGAGCCCCGTCCCTAAAACACCCTTTGGTGGAGCAAGAGGGAAGGAGAGGTTGGGACTCTTACTGGGCATGCCTCCCGCGATAATACCGTGAGTTATTTTGTCTTCACAGCCCCCAGACGGCCTCTGGATTCTGTAAGACCTCTGCCAGATCCCTGGTGGCCCTTTACCACAAGGGTGCACTGCCCTGTGAGTGCCACCCTACTGGGGCCATTGGCCGTCACTGCAGCCCAGAGGGCGGGCAGTGCCAGTGCCAACCCAATGTCATTGGGCGACGGTGTACCCGCTGTCGAGTGGGCTACTATGGATTCCCACGCTGCAAGCGTAAGTGCATGTTTGGGTCATCCAAGGTTGTCTCTGGCCCCAGGTGGGTGATGGTCAGCTAGGACGGGAGAGAGAGAAAGAGAACGAGGGAGGGATTGAGGGAAAGGAAGAGAGAGGATCCCCAGCAGGCTCCACGCCTAGCATGGAGCCCAACACAGGGCTCAGTCTCAAAGCTGTGAGATCATGACCTGAGCCAGTATCAAGAGTGAGACACTTAACTGACTGAGCCACCCAAGTGCCCCTAGGGCAGGCTTTCTTGAATTTCACTGTCCTGGAGACTCACCTGTCACCTGGAGATCTTGTGAAAATGCAGATTCTTATTCAGGAGGCCTGGGTTGGGGGCTGAGAGTCTGCATGTCTTTTAAGGACTCAGATGATGCCCATGCCAATGGTCCATGGACCACATTCTGAGTAGGTAGGTTCTAGAAGAGAAACATTTGTTTTTCCCATGTTATGGGACCCATGCACTTGGCAAAGCAGGTGAGTGTAAAGAGCCTTAAGCATGGAAATATTGGGAGGCTCAATCCCTCTTCCTATCGGAAGCCCCTTCAATTTTTGCAGCCTAACCAGAGTTCAACTGAAATAGGAGGAGGTGGGGCACCTGGTTAGCTCAGTTGATTAAGCATCTGACTCTTGGCTTTGGCTCAGGTCATGATCGCACGGTTCACAAGTTCAAGCCCCACATTGGGCTCTGTGTTGACAGCATGGAGCCTGCTTGGGATTCTCTCTTTCCTTTCCTCTCTGCCCCTCCCTAACTCATGCATGCATGTGTGTGCTCTCTCTCTCTCTAAAAATAACTAAATAAAACTTAAAAAAAAAAAAAAAAGAAATGGGGGGAAGGGCCAGGGTCACAGGAGCATAGTACTGTCTGAATGGGAAACCCAGGGAATTTTATCTAAGAACCATCTTGTGGCCCGAGATGCTGGGTCAGCATAGGCCATGTGCAGTGAGAGATCCTGGTGTAGTGCACACAGAGTCCTCTCCTGGAGATCAGCCGATGCCTAATGGGGGTCCTGCTGCTGTATCATGCCCTGACCTTGAGCTCAGTGCACTAGGGTGATGTGGAGGCACTTCAGGGAGCCTGTGAGGAACAGGACCCTCTGACGAATGAGAGGTGTCTCATTAGAATGGCTTGTAACTGCAGCTAGGTGGGTTCCTTTGAGTACCTGTCTCGGTGCCAGTGGGTCCAGCTGTGCCTCACACTGTGTCTGCCATGAGCAGGTGGTATGGTTGGTCTTGGCTCCAAGAAAGATACCTTTCAGATCTACCATGCTCAGTAATGGCCATAGTGAAGAAAAAGGGAGACATTTCTCCCAAACCCTTAGAAGCTTCTGGAAATCCTGGTAGTTGGTGAAGTCCTGCTGGTGGCCAGGCGGTGTCTCACCCTTACACCATGTCTCTTTATTCCCTGGCCAGCATGCAACTGTGGCCGGCGCCTTTGTGAGGAGACGACGGGGAAGTGCCTCTGCCTTCCCCACACGGTCGGGCCCCAGTGTGAGGTGTGTGACCGGCATTCCTTCAGCTTCCACCCCCTGGCTGGCTGCGAAAGCTGCAACTGTTCTAGGAGGGGCGCCATTGGGGCAGCCACCCCGGAGTGTGACAGGGACCACGGGCAGTGCAGGTGAGCTCAGGTGGATTCGCCTGTTAGGGCCTGTTATAGGAAAATGTCATCCGCACGCTCCAGTCACCATTACTTCCCGTGTCTCACAGCTCCAAGGACTGCACTGTGTTCACCTCAGGGTGGAGCCCCCCACCGAATGGGCTGTGGTGTGTGGAGTAGCGGTCCCCTCGGACCTGGGGAGCCTAGGGAGGTGGATGGCCAGTCGCCTGAGGTCACACAGCCTTACCCATTCACTCCAGTGTTGTTCTCAGTGTGTCCCATATGTATGCATAATTAAGTTATCATTTCTTCCACTGTGTCACCTTGTGGTGAGCACTAGCCATTTGTATTTAGGTTTGGGCTCCAAATCTTCATTCTAGGGTAAGCGGGCAGGTTTGTTGAGGACAGTGCATGCATGACAAGGTCCAAAGCCCCCAGGCCTGCCATCCTATCTCAGACAGGCAAGCTCGAAGTGGGGCTGGGGCCTCCACAGTGGGCCTTGGTTGGGGGTAGACAGGCAAAATTGGTAGGTATACTCTAGAGAGCCTGACCTGAGAGTGGGGCTGCGTGGGGACTAACCGAGAGGTCCAGCGACTGATAAGAAACAGTGGCCGATGTCAGCTCCCGCAGACACTGCATTGCTAAGAGGTTCTGCTCAGCAGGTTGAGCTCTCATTGGAAACTGGAGGCCAATGTCACCTGATTGCATGTCGTCAACCTGATCTCAGCAGGACTGGTGAATGGCCACAAGGGATGAAGGCTAGATCCAGTCTCCTAGGAGCACAAGCTGGAAAGAGTGGAGCAGGAGGTTATGTGGCAGGAAGACTGAAGCAGAGCCACCACATTCCAGGTCCGCGTGGCAGTGTGCAGGAGCAAGCAAGCGTAAGGGGCGTCACCCGCCCTATACTCCCACCCGTGACGGGGAATGGATGGTTTGGAGTCCATGCCTGTGATCTGGGTGCGACAGGCCAGACAGTGGCGGGGGCACGGTTGCTGCTGGTGGCAGGCATCCGTGACTGTAGTTCAAGAGCGGCTGTGTTAGTTTCCTGTAGCTGCTGTAACAAATTATCACAAATGGGATGACTTACAACAATAGAAAGTTATTTTCTTATCGTCAGGCTAAGAGCCCAAAATCAAGGTGTTGACAGTGTCATGCCCTTTTTGAAGTCTCTGGGAGGGACTCTGTTCCAGGCCTTTCTCTTACCTTCTAGTGTTGCCAGCAGGTCTTGGAGTTGCTTGGCTTATAGATGCATGACTCCAGTCTCTGCTCTTCACATTTTCTGTGTTTTGCTCTTCACATTCTCCTCTGTGTATGTGTCTCTTATAAGGACACAGTCAAATTGGATTAGGGCCACCTTACTCCCGCATGACCTCATCTTAACTTGACTATGTCTGCAAATACCCTAGTTCCAAACTTCTCAGGTCCTGGCGATTAGAACTTGAATGCATCTTTTGGGGGGAGAAAATTGAACTGTCTATAGCAGCCTAAGGAAGGACCCTTGACCACACCTTTAATTGTTGCCCGGGTGCCTAACAGCTCCTTTGTGCTACAGGAAAGGAAGCTGAGTGACAGCCTGAGTCATGAAACATTCTGAGTCTTTAAAACCACAGGTGTGAGTCCCCCTTGAATCAGCTCAGTTGCTCATTCTTCTCAAACCAGGAGCCTAAACTGAGTGTGATTTGCACAAAGAATTTGGAGGTGATATTCAGTGTTTTCTCACCACCATTAGTTAACATTACATCAGGTTCTGTTCCCTCCAGTACTTAAGCTGTTCTCTGGAAGGAAGTCAGGCACTTAGTTCATTACTGAAGATGCTACATTGGGTGTCGAATGCGCCCATGGGCCTGTGAAAACGTCTGACTTATTTCCAGTTAATTACTGACGTAAGAAGACAATGGCACTTAGGGTGGAATCACAGACTTCCACCAGCACCTGTAGGAATGCAGGAATGCTAAAGAACAGAAGACACACTGTGCCCAGGAGATGCTTATAGGCTTGTGGCTGGAGAAGGTGGAGAAGCAGGAAGCTAAAAGGACCTCTCGGCGCCGATCACGACCCAATGAACTTTATAGAAAGGAGAGAGAGAAGCAAAAGAGGTGTATGATCCTATGACTTCGTTACTGACCTAGATTTGCTTCTCCAGGGAAAATTGCCTCCATTCCCCCTCTTTCAACCCTTGGTCCAAAAAAGTAGCTGGACAAATGCCAGAATCATGTAGATTTGCTCTCTCACATGGCCATCACTACCTCATTTCAGCTGGGCTATTTGGTATTCCTTTCCACATCTCCTCTCCTGACCTCTTTATTTCATATAGCTGGCTTTTTTTCTTCTATTCTTTCATTGATGGGTGTCATTTTCCCTCTGGAGGCTAACAGCCCCACTACACTTTTCATCTTGTTCTTTTCTACCTCTCCCAAAGGCCTTCTTCCCTCAAATAGCAATTGTTGCACTGTTATTTTCTACTACTCCCTTACCACTGGCATCTCCCTTTTTATGTTCCGTAGCTGCCAGTTTCCCTTTCTTGAAATACATAACCCTCTTATAGACAGCAAACTGACAGCCAGTCATAAACATTTAATGCCAGAGCTCCAGAGTATTTGTAAATAAAATGTGTGGCTCTCAATGGAAACATCCACAAGGATAGAGAAGATGGAATATTTCTCTCCATGAAGCCAAAACAGCAACACCAACAAGGTCTTCCATCTTGGTATGATAAGTGGTCATGGAAGAATTAGAACAACAGTTGAAAGACAGTTATCCAAGCCAGTCTGTTGCTGCTGAAACACTGTCTAAAACACACACAAATATCCTCAGATATCTCCTAGAACATCCACCAGACCAAAGGAAACCATAGAATTAGGACTGGTTTCAGAAAAGGAAATCCAGGGTGTTATAAAAAAAGCAAACAGATTGAATTAGGAATAGTTATTTTTGTTTTAATATATTTGAAGGACAAATCAAAGGAAATAATTCAGTGTCTTTTTGTTGAATTGGTTTGTGTGAATCCTTCAGCATGAAGAGTATCTGACAAATAAGCAGGATGAACGAAAGGGGAGGTCTTAGCAGTAAAATCTTCTGCTCATTTGGAACACCTGGGTGGCTCAAGTCAATCAAACATCCAACTTCGGCTCAGGTCATGACCTCACAATTCGTGGGTTCGAGCTCTGTGTCGGGCTCTGTGCTAACAGCTTGGAATCTGGAGCCTGCTTCGGACTCTGTGTCTCCCTCTCTCTCTGCCCCTCCCCTGCTCATGCTCTGTCTCTGTCTCTCAAAAATAAATAAACGTTAAAAAAAAATCCTCTGCTCACTCAAGAGGCATAGCAGGAATCTGGAGATAAAAAAAAAAGCCAAGAGAACAAGGTTTTGTCTGAACAGGATAAGCAATGCATGACCTAGAGGATGTGAAGCTCAGGGAAGAGCAGGAGAGGAAGATAAACAAGGGTGTGCAGAATGGTTATCAGGGAGGGAGAGTGCTGGCCGAGGATGGAGCCCAGGATTCTGTAGTGGCCTCAATCACAGCTGTGTGAAGAAACTTTTAAAGTACTAAATACTGAAAACATTATAGTTAAATTAAAACAAAACTTACTAAGCCACAAAATAAGTGTGTGGCAGACCAACAGAGTCCTGTTTTTCCACAATGACTACTTCGGCTTTTCTTTCGAAAGCAGAACATACAAGTAAAAAGTTTGGGGCTGGGGGGCACCTGGGTGGCTCAGTCGATTAAGCGTCCGACTTCGGCTCAGGTCATGATCTCACAGTTCCTGAGTTTGAGTCCCGCATCAGGCTTTGTGCTGACAGCTCAGAGCCTGGAGCCTGCTTCGGATTCTGTGCCTCCCTCTCTCTCTGCCCCTCCCCTGCTTGTGCTCGATCTCTCTCTCTCTCTCTCTCTCTCTCTCTCTCTCAAAATAAATGAATTAATTAATTAAAAAAAAAGAGTCTGGGGCTGAGATGGAAGTTTGGGATTGGTTAGAGTAACTGAGGACCCCAAGGAGTAGGCGTGGCCACCCAGGAGGAAGCACCAGGTGTGGGTTCTGCAGGGGGTACCTTTGTTTCATTGTTGAAGGCAAAGGAACCAAGGAGATGGAGAAGCAGTTTTCAGGCAGGAGGCAGAGAGGAATTCTCTGTCTGAAAAAGGGAGAATTCTAAAAGGGGGTAACTGGTCAACAGAATAAATTGCTGCAAACAGAACCTCACACATGGTTTCTCAATCCTGCTGCCACAGAAAAAGGAAATCAAGAATACATTAAAAGTTGGAAAAATGCATTGAGGCACCATCTGTGATAGATAAATAGATTTACCATAATATTTTAGGTAGAAATTATAAGGGGTGTTTAACAAAGTTTCACTAGCCAATGACAATTCAGTAGATTGAAAAATTCCTAACTCAGGACAAAGGCATACTGTGTAGTTCTGCCCAAGCCCAAGGAAACATCAACAGGAATGGGATCTCATTGGCCTGTATCACACCTAAACCAAGAGGTGAAATTGGTTCTCTTGACCTTACCAAAGAGACTGTAATAACCTGATGGGATGACATATCTCTCCATGATCAAAGTACATTTGTCATGAAAGGGCCCTTGACAGATAATGCAAGAAATACTTTCAGTTTATTATGACTATAAATTGCACAAATTGCTCATGGTAATTACACTGTTTATGCTGAAAAAGCTCTGGATTACCCAAAGGATTTTTTTTTTAAATATGAAATTTATTGTCAGATTGGTTTCCATACAACACCCAGTGCTCATCCCAACGGGAGCCCTCCTCAGTGCCCATCACCCACTTTCCCCTCCCTCCCACCCCCCATCAACCCTCAGTTTATTCTCAGTTTTTAAGAGTCTCTTATGGTTTGCCTCCTTCCCTCTCTGTAACTTTTTTTCCCCCTTCCCCTCCCCTATGGTCTTCTGTTAAGTTTCTCAGGATCCACAGAAGAGTGAAAACGTATGGTATCTGTCTTTCTCTGTATGACTAATTTCACTTAGCATAACACTCCCCAGTTCTATCCATGTTGCTACAAAAGG